AATTTCCTATTCTATAAACTGATATTCAGGAGGCAATAAAGTAATTAAAAGCTACCTTGCAAATTCACCCTCTCTTTAATTCCTGCACCCAGAAATGGGTGTCGTTCCCTACTGAAGGAAGAACTTTGGCTTTTTCTTTGCAGTCAGGAGAATGTTCCATGCCCTATGGATAAATACTACCCTCAGGAATATTAAAAAAAAATCATCATACCAGTGAGATCCCTACAGAATGCTCAGTGGAGAGCAGAATAGAGTACTTTGCTTATGTTCTTGTTCATATCAGCCTAAATCTGATTGCTTTGATGGAGTGAAGCAGAGTTGCATAAATTGTTAGCGATAGGAATCCAATAGTTACACTTTGTGCTTAATTTCATTTACAGAAAAGTCCCATCAGAAGTAGAGAGAACCACCAAATCTAATGATTTTAACCACTTCATTTTCACTTGTATTTTGCTTACATAAGTTGATCTGAATGTTGATACCAAAGCATAAACTTTGCACAAAAACTGTGACTCTTACGAAATAGTCCATTCTTTCTGGTTGTTTTCATTTTCAGAATAATAGCAAGAGTGATGTGTTCATAACCAGCTGTCAATGGGGGCTGTAGGTAGCTAGGACAGGCAGTTAAGATGTCAATTCATTTTGGCTCTTCCACAGTCTGTAGGAAATAATAAACTGCTTCAATCTGTGTGGTCAAATAAACACATTAGTACTGAACTTATTTAATTGAACAATCTCTTCAATTGTTTGTGTCACCAAAATGAAAACTTACTAAAGATGCAAGGGGCTCGATTGTCCCAGGTGCTGTTGATCGTCACAGGCGGTTAGGAAAAACATAACTTTGTTCTGAAAAGAGCACTTTTCAGGGCTCACATCCTGCAGCAACACCTTTAATGTGGGGTGGCTCTAAGAATAATTTCTATGGCTCAATACATTAACTTCCTGCAGCAGATCAGATTACTTTCTGTCAGCTGTCTTGGGTGATGTGACCCACACATTTCATTCTCTTTGTACCCAACATATTGAATTCGGGCTATTGTATTAGGTTCAGTTGTTTATCGTTACACCAACTACAAAGTCTAGAGCAGAGCAATAAGATTATTTTCAAAGGTACATTTTATTAGGAAGTTATAGTAATTTCAAAACAAAACCTTACACACAAACACATATAATCTTAAAAATTAACAAGTGTGAATTCAGTTTCCTGTTAATATAAATGCAAGGCATCTGTGGTTGGGTAAAGTTTAAGTACATTCTCTGTGAGTGTACAAACTGATGTATTAAAAAAAAAACAACCACAAGACTGGTATGCCAGAAAACAGATGGCTTCAGAGAGTTTCATTTCATATAGTTCAAACTGTCAGCAGCTTACACTGAATTATACTGGAACACTACAAGTGAGTTTGTAATTGTCAAGGACTACAAATACATTTGTTATAGTAAAAAAATACAAAACCATAAAAAATTGCCAGCAGAGTGTTAAGAGTTTCCCAGAGAGATTTGTCATAATGAATAATTGCACTTAACCTGTAGGCTATGACTAGTAGTTAATATTATTTTCTTTATTATTTCAAAATACTTCTATTTTCTTTATCAAAAATCCCCTTAACAAAGATCCCCTTAACAAACATCCATTCTGTACCCAACACAAAACATTCACTGAATGCAGATTTAAGATAACACAATATTGGATTTTAATTGTGCACCTTTACTTTCCTCTTTTTACCTGTATACCAGAAAGGTTAAAAAAAGCATTAAGATGAATGATCTGTGCAAAATGGGAAGCCTTTATAACTGATATATATAACTTATATAACTGATACCTCATGCAAAAGAGAAAAAAATTTTAAAAACCCAATACAGTCTAAGAAGCCCTGAGTCAACAATTTCATTGCAAAGGCAAGGAACATGAGTGCTCTGAGTTCTTCCTACACATTGGTGCATATTCAGACAAGTCCAGTATTTATGTAAAACAATTTAAAATAGGCAGTTTGTGCAGTTTCTCACATACAAGTCTTCTACACACTTCATTCCTTTCAGTAGACTGTATTTAGTACTCAATTTCGTTTAAGCTGTCAGGATAGCCTGATGAGAACTGGATTTCTTCCACTTCTGCAATAGAAAGAAGGGGGAATACTGTAATTATTTGTATTTTTATAATACATAAGAATGCATAAGACAGAATGTAATTACCACCCTGGATTTCAATAGGACTGACATACAGTTTTTGAAGTGTTACAGCGTCTTTACTAGTCCAGATGTGAGGATGGTCTCACATCTTATTTGAAAACAAAAATTCTAACTAACACTAAACACTAACCCAGCAGCATGATACTACTAAATTCAGGTCCATTCAGTGAGGATTAAGGAAAGAAGTATCACCTGTCTAATTACAAAAAGCACTGTGAATTGGTAGGTGTCTCCTAAGAGAAACAAAGTTATGTTTAAACTTACCTAAACAAGGTCCTGCCTGGAACAGAATATCATCAATAGCAGTGTCACTTCTCACTGATACACCGCGGATTGCCTCAAAAATAATCTGCAAAGGTAAAAGACAGCTTTTCATTAATCCCACAGGAGGAAAGACTAAAAAAATAGACCCATGCAGTCTATTCAAGGATCTAGTGTGTCCTGAAAGCCTGCTTCTTGGAAAGAAACTTAACTGCTCCATCAGTGGACTGATGGTCCTGGTCAGAGAATTTGGGTGTATACAGCGAAAGGAAGCAAATTTATTCTCATGGTTTATTAAGAAATTGCTATGTGTTATAAATGACTGATAGATTTTCTCTAGTGATGTGTCATTTCTACCTAGTTTTTCAGTCCAGATGTGTCACTGTGTGTTGCCCATGTGCAAGCAAGACTTGTGGGGAAACATAAACATTATAATATTAAGTTGTGGTCTTGTGATGAAGCTAAACTTGCTTTTCAGTAAAAGGTTTCCTTTTATTTTTTCCTAATTAATTTCTAGGCTCTTCAGGCAAAGTGACTAAAAAACCCCACACAGCATCTTCGGTTAGTGATCAGTGCAGTTTTTGTGCCCAGTGCTGTTTCAGTCAGTAGCAATTTCAGCTTTCTCTTTGACAGAGAAACTGAAGCAGGCTTAATGATGGCACTGTTGAAACCAAAGGCAGAGCTCTGGCTTTGCATCATCCCTTGCATTTGGTGCCGCCTCAGATAGACCATCCTGCAAGAAGCAGCCATTTTGTCACAGCTTAATGGTTACATCAAATCTAGACAGGGCTTTAGACAGCTGAAGGAAAAGAAATCGCACAAGTGATCTAAATAAAAACTACCACTACAGACAAGAAATGATGGGAAAACAATTCAGTTTTTAAAAAATTGAATTGATGAACTGTTTTTATACTTGGAACCTATTAATGTCTTTAATAATTCCCTCCTTACCTTCATTTGTAATAAATTATACGTTACGTCAGCTTATTCAGGTGTCCATTCAATACTATCTACATTTTTTTTTTCTTTTTTACAATTGAAAACTTGGATCTAGCACACAGTTTGGTTCAATATTCCATTTTGACTGCTTTTTCTTAGTTTTTTCTCTTACCTGATAGTTTCTATCACTTTCGTATTCTATCAGTCCCCTTAGCCATGAGATGCTTTGTTCCCCTGTCCTTCTCCACAAAGGAATCTCTTCATCATCACCTTCCTTTTTTAGATAAACACTTAATAATCCAGTCCCAGCTCCATACATGTGATAGAAAAATGTCAAGCACTGTTTTCCAGAGGTTCCTCTTAGTGATCTTGAAACTAGGTATGCTCTCTGTCCATATACCATGTTGGATGCCTCTATGTACATGTAGTATCCTTAAAAAGATAATACAAGCAAACATCAGCAAAGTAGAATACATTCTCTCAGCATGTTCATTACGCTCAACATTCTCATTATAAAAAAAAATATGACTGAAACTATTTGATAAAGACTTTATGCTGTAGACATTAATCTGTAAACTGTAGTATTTGTGATATTGTAATAATCGGGTAGTATAGTAATGGGTGAAAAGGAAGATTATCTACAGCTGAAGGTCTGTAAAGAAAAGATTATTTTGTACAGTGTGTTGGAGAATTCCCACGGCTATTTATACCAAACCTAGTGCAAGCCACTGCAAGGATTTTGGTGTTCACTATGCTTCAAAGTTCCCTGAGTAAAAAATCAACACCTACAGCTCATACTACAGTATAATAAAATAACTTGCCTTTAGTTCTAAGGGCTGAATCATATTATAAACTTGTTGGAAAGACTACATCATCTCTTGGTTTTGTGAATTCAAATCCACATATTTCTCAGCACATCTTCCTACAAAGAGATGTGTGAAATAAGGAATAAACATTGTTGCCACAGGCTGGGCTTAAAAGATTCCCTTGCTTCACCAGTTGTAAAGCTGAGCTATGACCCTCAGATCTCAGAGTACTTTGTGATCTACATAAACTGAAAATATGTCTAAAATAAGTTCCTGCCTTAGTAATCATTAACGTTTTCCCTAACAGCCCATTCTTTTTCTTGAGCGAGAAACTCGAGTTGCTTCTACTATAAGGAGAGGGTTATTGTCCTTGGAAACACAAGAGCCAGGATATAGAGTATTTGAAAGAGGAAGAATAAAATATATTACCTAGGGAATAACCAGGGGGGAAAAAAAAGCATCAAACCTTCATATTAAATCCTTTTACAGAATTGAGTTTTGTTACCTACCAAAAAAACCCAGCAACTTTAATGTGATGTAGTCCTTTTGGACTGTAAAAAGAAAAATTCTGAAATGAACTTTAAAAACTTTTAGGAAAAATTCTCACTTATTTTAAAGCTGTTGATCACATGTCTAGTTGATGCAGAAGAACTGGACAGCATGGGTAACAAAGACTTACAGACAGTATGTCATCTAATTCACTCTAATGTAATCTAATTTTTAAATGGAAAAGGGACAAGAATTTCAATATTCCCTTTTGAAAGTCCTTTCACAGTACAAAGATGTCATTATTGGGAAAATGTTCTTGATTTGTAGACAGCATACATTTTCCACTTAGATAACTTGGCCAATAGATCTGGTCAGAATGTGGTCAGATTTGTACATAAAGTTTCTTGGTTTTTTTTAAATTTCATAACACATAAGAGAAGCTTTATGCTTTAAAACTTATGTCTGAAGTCTATTCATATTTCTACCCAGAATCAGTACTCTTTAGAATTAGCAATGGACAATGGAAGAACATAATTTCTTTGTGATCTGAAATTTCAAGCCAAAGAAAAGCATTCCCATCCGCATTCTCAATTCCACATGTAGGATTTTGGCCATACAGTCTCACATACCATGAATATACATCTCTTCAATTTCTCTACCTTGCTCAGGATGCAGCTGTTACAGAAATTTTACCAGGAGATAGAAAAAGGAGATTTTGCTGAATGTGCACAAAGCCATCTTTTTAGATAAAGAGATCACAAACAAGATAAAACATTTGTTATTTTATTAACTAGAAGCATTTATTATTTTGTTAATTAGAAACAAAACAGCTCTCCAGAGTAACTTCAATTAAGCTTGCGTAAAGCAAGACTTCATGTGCACAGCTGAAATAACTATGCTTGATAATGGTTAACGTGGTTTATGCTCCATCACAGTTGACAGAATAATAATAGCTTTCGGTGAGCCTTTCAAGCAGGCCAACTGCTTTTGTAATCCAGCTGATATTTTTAACAGACTGAATAGCCGGCTACTGTGAATAAGCCAGCTTGTCTGCAACTGACTTAATAACTTGTTGAATGAATGCTAGCCACTGTGAAGGAGGGCAGATCCAAAGGCCCTGAAAGTCTTTTTAAACCTATCTAAAAATTTAAAGTTCAGAAGCCTCAGGGCACTTTCATCCATTATACTGAAGTCAGTGGAGTTGTTAGTGAGGTGCAGGAACACAAGCACCCAACACAGTGACTCAATCATTTCCAGAAGTCACCAGGTACTGCCCCCAGTGTGGGGGCAATTCTGATGCAGTTATCTGTACGCACGCTTATGCTAATAGGAGCCCCACTTGTCTAAATACTTTGAATTACACAAGTGAGATTATGGAGCAGATTTTCAAGACAAAGGGACTGCGGGATCTCTTTTATTATCCATGTTCTAAATTTGAACAGGAAGGTGTTGATGCAGAAGAGCCCCCAACCACTTGTTTGCCTTTTAGTTTCAGGGAATATTCACGTAAGCTAGGGGCTTGGAAGAAGGGTTTTCTGCGAAGTCTGGAGAGTCATCCTGTCTTTTTTTTCCCAAAGAAAAGGGCTACTTTATGACATGAAGACCTTACCTACTTGGTCTGCAGATAATTCAGATTAAACATCACATTCTCAAAACCATCTGTGGGTCCTTAAGCAGGGTGTTTACTTAATCTGTTTAATAACTGTTCTGAACAGAACAGCAAAAATTTTCTCTGTGTTCTAGGTTATAATTTTAAAGTATTTTTGACTAACTATCAATCTCTGTTCTGAAAGTTCAATGTGGAGCTTAACTCACCTACCCCAGTAGTGTGGTCTCCTTTCGGTCCGGTGTAAGAAGTGGGAGTTGGACCCCTCCTCCTGTGCCAACTCCCACGACCTCTCTTCTTCTGGGTAAATATACACTCATCTTTTTCAAAAGTACACTCTCCAGGGTTGGGTAGCAATAGATCTATAAGGAGAGGACATTGTTTAGAACTGCAAATATATTAAACAGGTATATGGACAGATTACACAAGCCATGTATTGCATTCACTCACCTGCTGAAATCACTTATATCTACCTAGTAATACTTACAGTAGTCACAAGCTTATTAAAGTACGTCAAACTGATGTACAAAATTTAAAGTCATTTTCTTCACAGCTTTGGGGAAATCTGTGCCCTAGTCTCACTCACTAACATGCACTAATATTCTTTAAAACATCTTGTACACTTTATTATCTCATCATAGCTCTTACTCTGCAATGGGCTCTACCAGTGTAATCTTTTTCACTACTGTGGCACTTTAAGCAGTTTAATATGTAACTGTTGTGGTTTAACCCCAGCCAGCTATAAACACCACACAGCCGCTTGCTCACTCCCCCCCATCATAGGATGACAGAGAAAATTGGAAGAGTAAAAGTGAGAAAACTCATGGGTTGAGATAAAGGCAGTTCAATAGGTAAAGCAAAAGCTGTGCACACAAGCAAAGCAAAACAAGGAATTCATTCACTACTTCCCAGCAGGTGTTCAGCCATCTCCAGGAAAGCAGAGCTCCATCACGCGTAATGGTTACTTGGGAAGACAAATGCCATTGCTCCGAACATGCACCGCCCCCCTTCTTCTTCCCCCAAGTTTTTATTGCTGAGCATGACGTCACATGGTATGGAATATCCCTTTGGTCAGTTGGGGTCATCTGTCCCGGCTCCCAGTTTCTAGTGCACCCCCATCCTACTCGCTGGTGGGGTGATGTGAGAAGCAGAAAAGGCCTTGACTCTGTGTAAGCACTGTTCAGCAATAATGAAAATATCCCTGTGTTATCAACACTTTCCAGCACTAACCTAAAAAAGCCCCATTCTAGATACTATGAAGAAAATTAACTCTACCCCGGCCAAAACCAGCATATTAAATGAATCTTGTCAAAGACTGGAGTTTCTGTGATCTGAAATCAAATGCCACATTTAGGTCTCTCATGTTCCCTTAGCACCAGATTATAATACGGCATACAACAGACCACAGAGCTGCAATTACTAGAGTATTTTCGTTATTTCAGTTCTATTAGATGATGCAGAAGAGATAAAGTTGACAATTCAGGTGGTCACCAGGAAGCTTCTGTCAGGTCTTCTGCTATAAATTTGTAGTTCAGGAATAGACACCTGCTTTCAACTTTTGGAAAGGAGGAAGCCCTTGGTGCCTCACATACTCTGGGGCATTTTTCGGGCATTTTTTTTCAGAAATACTGTGTAGAAATATTTGAGAAAAATGGCGTCTTGTTTTATACATGTTCTGTAATGGTTAGCTGCCTGAATGCAAGAAATCCAATCAAAAGAGGTAATTGAAAAGTTCTTGTTACATGGGAATGTAATAGGCATGGTAGATCAGCCTCATCACCATTTCAAAGGCATGGCTTTATTCTGAAGAAGAATGGGATTATAGATTGTGCCTGTCTCATGAGAATGGTTTCCAAATTTGGATACAATCATTGCATTGTCAAACCTCAAAAAGCCCCAGAAGAGGGAGTTTGGGTGAGTTCAGAGAGGTTAGCCTGTGCTTGTCAGAGGGTAAAGACCCACTCAAAAACGTTCAGTTCCTCCCGCTACAGGAGGCAGAGTTAGACTCATCTGTCTTCATTAGAGAACTGCAGCTCAGATAAGGGACTGTGTCTTGGCGTTGCACAACTGTACTTCTGGACTAAAAAGAATAATGCTGTGTTTCAAAAATATTGCTTTTGGGTCCATTCCTGGTTTCCTAAAAGCCATTTGAAAACTACCTTCCCCTCAGTTGGACTGCTGTTTTTTTAAAAATTGTAATGTCCCAAAAGGAATGCTCACCTATATACAACTGCACTGGAGTCAGTGAAGTTAATCAGGAGTTAGCTGGTACCTCTGCGAACAGCAGCATACATACAGCCCTGGTCCTCGCTGTATGTATGCTTCTGCAAAAATAGGATTTATACAATACCTACTGGAGAAAAACAAGAACTGAAACCACAGTGCAATGAAGGCAGCTGTAGGATACGCTTGGAAAATGAAGGTATGTGATGAGCTCTCATTAAAAAGCAGCTGTTGGATGACAAATATATATGGTCTTACCAGCAGCCTGGCAGCTTCCCAGGCTCAGTGATACATCATCCAGTGCCACAAGTCCACAGTCCCAGAAGCTCTTACACCAGCTGACAAAGACAATCTGCAATACATGAAGGAAGTTTTAGGAATCTAACAAAAGCTGGCACCGTTAAGAGTCTGAAATTTTAAATTTTTCAAAATGCACTAATAATTTTGACATTACAGAACAGAAATGATGAATCCACTTTGTTTTGGCACATACTAATACTGCCAATGACAGAAATTTCAAATCCAGTGGGTTTTAGGTATATGTTTTAATTAAGTAGAAAGTGTTTTTTCACTTTTGTAGGCAAATTATGTATCTCTGTACATTGTTTCCATTTTATTAGTGTGTGCATTTTTTAGTGTATGAGAAAACATGACTCACTGAGGGTCTTGTGATGTCCCCTAAAAAAACCTTACATGAACAGCTCAAATGTCCTCAGCTATCTTCTCCTTACAACCAGGAGGTTTTATCCATGGAAAAATACATTTGAAAGAGTAATGCAGAGTGATGGCCAAGAGAAATGGCTGTGGCAAAAACCAAAGAACGATGCAGGTGAGATTAAACTACTGCATAAAATGGGATTATGCGGAAATGACACAAGGCCATGATATCATAGAGCAGGAGGCTGGAAACGCTAAGCATCATTCACAGTGTTCATCTGGGTTTGTGAAGATTAAAAGTAGTGTCCAGGATGTTTTATCTGGCTGCACATTAATTCTGTTGTGGAAAATACAAGTCACTAATGAGATGACAAAATAAAATGTAAAGAAACATTGACACAGATCCATTTGAATTACAGAAGACACAATAAGGTTTATTTAGTGAAAATACTGCTGTCAGTTTTCTTTGCCTAAATACTGCAAACCATCTGTCTGACCACTGGGGTTATGACCATAATTTGGGAGGAGCTTTTCAAAACAATTCCTTTGTGATGAGGTCTGAGCTAGTGACTGGAGATGGATGAGTGTCCCTTCTAATAGTTTAATATTCTGGAACAACTGTAAATACCTCAGTAATATATTTGAAGTTAAATGCTGGCTGAGAGTTTCATGCAGTTACAAAAAGGTTGTTAGAAGTCGTTCATGCATTATTTAATAAGTCCTCTTTTAACTGGCTTGCTAACACCTTCAGTACGATCATTATACTGGATTTTGTTAGATTGCTTTGCTATGTAGTATTTATTTACCCGTCTGCTTATAAAACAGCCTGGGACGTAACTACACTTTAACCTTTGAAGCATGTATGGGTTACACTGCCCAGGATGGAGCAATTTTCAAAACCATTTTCCATTCAGTGCTACTAATCCTGGTAATAGTGATTATCTGTCTTGTAAACTGTTACAGGTGTGGGCTTGAGGAGTGGCCCTATACAGTGGCCTAGAACTGTCTTTTTTTTTTTTTTTCTTTAGAGCGCCTCTCTCAGCCCTGAGGTTTAACAGGACAAAAATTGTTTCCTACTTTCTAAGTTCATTCTCAAGAAACAGGCTCAATATATTATAAAATGGTATCATCTCTTGGAATAAAGAATAGAACAAATACTGACGTTGGGTGGACGTCATTCACTAGACTTTTAATAAATGCATTCTGGTGAACATTTGTAATAAACTGAAGACATATTCTAGTCCTAAACCAAAGAATCTTCAGAAAGCCACACAAGAAAGGGTGAGGTCAGTCCTCGTTTGTGAAAGATTTCCACGCTGTGGAATCATGTTGTAAGTGATGTTTTCCTACTGACATCACTGGGAGCAAGATCAAGTTCTTTATTCTTAAATTGCAATAATTTGTTCCATACAAGGTATGTAATTACCCATTGGATCCTGCAGAAAGCCCTCCATTTCAGACGCATCACCATGTTGGTCTCTCAAAGGCCACTGAACCAGCAGCCTTTGTACAATCAAAGGATTGATCAGTAAACTTGTTCAGCTTTGTCATCTGTAGTTTTAGCGCTCCTAATTCTCCACTTGCTTTTTGTGGTTTTGAGTGATACACTGCCATAAGCAGACTTTATAATTGCACCGGGGTAGGGTGGGAGGGTTTGGGTATGTGGAGTTTCCAGTATGAGTTATAGCAATGTACTGAAATCGGTCATTATCTCTTTGGTTTAGTTTGTTGTTATATTCTTGATTTAGTTTCAAGCAACAGGGTAGAACACATTTTTATTCCCAGGTCAAATTTATTCCTTTTTTTTGTCCTAAATGTCCTTTTTTTTTGTCATAAAGCGATATCTTTGACTATTTGAACTTTGCCTACCAAGATTGTATCAATTTGGATTTACTCAGCTATTCATTTTCACCCTACAGCAGAGCTCTGAATCCTCTCTACAGTCTAAACAGGACTAATCTCATGATGCTTTATATTTGGTCTTGTTTTGAATGAAAATATGTCCTAGGTCAATTCTTCCAAATGAAATTTTTATTAAGTTATCTCATGCCTGGGAGAAGAGAATAGGGGGATCTTTGTGCTTAGCTCACACTTTTCTTCATAAAACATGACAGATGAACAACACACTATCTGTTTCAAACTAGGTAACAAATCTTCCTGGACTTGCATGGTATCTTGGAGGCTAAACTAAAAACATTAGTTGTTGCCTGTGTTACTGAAAAATAAAGCATGTTTTCGTCTAATGTCTCTTTTTGTTCCAATGACAGGACACAGCTAGGGCATTAGTTTCTTTCCAAATAATTGCCCTGATTTCTGGAAGCTGGTTTGTTTATTTTCCAGTGCTTAATCAATGTTCCTGGCCCGCAGCCTCAAAGCATCAATAATCAGTTCTTAGCATTTATCCTGGATTATATCAGTAATGAGCAACGCCAGATGAGAACAACTGGTAGAGCAAGCAAGGTTTCACTTCTCACATAACATGTTTTTGGGTTGTGCTGCAGACACTGACTAAGGTAGAAGGGGACTTCTCATCGTTATCACTTTGCATCTCTGCAAGTAGATGTGAGTTAAAACATATGCATATGAAGTTTACCTGCCTTTGGAGGAGACGAAAGAGTAGGACACGCAGCAGGATACCTCCATCAAGAACTGCAATGAGGGACTAATGGGGAAGCTTGTAAGAGGAGGTTTGGAGGGAGCTGGACTGAGAACAGGAGAAAAGGAGAGAAGATGCCCCTAGATCTCTGTGGGTTCTGTGTATTTTCTTTCCTACTTGTTTAGCCCAGAAAATATAGCTCTTGCTCAGTTAGAGAGCCAGACCAGCCAAACAAAATAAAAACTGTGACAGCAGCCAAATCTGGTGACTTTAAAGCAAGCTTTGCCTCTGCAGTGAATTAATGTACCTGATTCCATTCTAGAGAAAATTAATAGGTTTAAACTACATACTGTATATCAGTGTAGACACAAAACTTAGTCTGTCACTTAGATATTTAGGTTTGATTTCTTAAAGCAGAAACGCAGTTATAGTGGAGTCTCAGGCAGGTTTTCATGAGAAGAAACTTGTAATTTCCATACAGTGACACAAAACCCAGTATTATGAAATAAAAATAATAATTCGAGCACCAGAAACAAAAGTGTGACATGACACAAAGAAGAAGTCAAGATGTTTTCACAGAACAGGGAGCCTGACTTTTCAGTCAGTTACGCTAGTACACAGTCATATACACATGTAAGCCAGGGACTGGCACAGGGAATGGGAGAATGATTATGATTGTCCCAGGGCTGTTTAATACAAGTGTTATCAGTGTAGCCCAAAATACTTTTAAATGGTTTAATTAAACTAGATTTTAAATGGCTTCTCTTTCTTTGGCTTAAACAGTCAGAAACTCATTTATCAAGAACTCAAGTAAGCTATTAAGCCAAAATTATAATGTCTCCAAGCTTCTGTCATTTAAAATTAATTGATTTAAAATGGCACTTGCCAGGCAAGTTCCATTTCTTGCCATGTAAATACAATGAGCTTCTGCAGGAAAAATAATGTATTGTGAAAGCTTCTACATAAATAATTGGATAACACTGGTAATAAGCTTGTGACATTTGAACAAATATTTTTGAAAATCTTTCCTGTCTACGGGCAAATGGGTTTCAGAAACAAACAATGAAAGGGAAACATAAAGCTAAGAAAACAACCTTGGGCCACAGGCTATTACTGCTACATCTATATTCACTGGATTGCACTGTCCAGTAGAGAACACTGCCTGCACAAAAATGTACACAGGACACCGATATCCTCAGCTGTCCTGCAGGGCCCGCAGAGATTTCCAGAAATCTGCCATTATGGCTCTATCCTCTTTTCAGCGAAGCAGTTTCCTTGGCTCTTTTTATGATATGGAAAGGTTTTTGCGTTTAGACTGCGAGTCTTGTCAGATGATGTGACATCGTAATATCACAGTATTAAGTACCCAGAAGAAAAATTGAGAAAAAAAGAAGAAATGTCAGTCAAGTATCACAGATACCAAAAGGAGGTATGTAATATTTCATGCAACATATCTCTTTGCTTAGCTACTGTGAAGATGCAGGCCACTTAGGTAACACTTTCCAAGCTGAACAATTTTTACAGTTTCCAATATGTAATTTCCTTAACCTTATGTCAAACACCACCAGCAGTGGGGTACACATTTTGCAAGCACTAATCCTACTATTTACAGACCCTTATGTTCTTATTTTATATAGGCAGTGATTGTTTTTTAAGAAATTTCTTGGTTTAGAGGTGAGAGAAGGAGGGACAGAAGGGACATACTATAAAACTGCAGCTCATTCCAACCTCTTTAGGTTGCACACCTTATCGTGGGAAGACTGCTCAAGGGTTGTATCAGAACAGTACCAAAAAGCTCCTTTATTTGACACAAGTGAGGGTTTTTCTGAGGAGAAGGAAGAGGAGGACGAGGAGGAGGAGGAGGAAGAGGAGATGAGGACTAGGATGTCTGCCTTCTTCCACTTGATACCTGACCGAAAAACTGTTCATCATATATCCAAGATTGATTTAGTCATTTATCTATGACTTTGATGGACAAGTGGAAAACATGAATTTCTCAGCAGCAAAGTGAAATGCTAGAATAATTTAATATTGAGCATCATCACAGTGATGATGTGGAAACAAAGGTCCAAAGATCCTCATACCAAGCCCTAGGAAGACAGAGAGGTGATAATGGATGTTTAGGGAAAACAGTACAACAATCAAATCAACCACAAAGCTATTTGTGCCATTATATTAGTTTCAGCTGCCAGAGAGTTGAAGAACTTGCTGAACTGGAGGTTGCACCTGTACCACTGTGTATACAGTCACTGTGAGGTTGATTTTCCATGAATTTGCCTAATCCCTTTTTAAATGCACGTATCCTATCAGCCTCCACAGCATTGTGCAGCAAAGGAATTCAGTGTTTAGTCATTCCTGAAAAAGTCCTCCCTTTTGTTTGTTTTAAAACATGCAAATATTGAAGTGCAACACTCAGTCACTTGATTTTGCTTTCTCACAACTGCAACTAAAATCAGTTATGGAGTATGGGTGAAAACAGACAAATGAACTCAAGAAAAGAGAGTGAGGAAAAAAAACATCCGAAAGGAAGCAGAGTAGACTGAAAAAATGAAAACCCAAGAAATACTGCCACAACTACTCCGATGGAAGTAGGGTGGACTGTTACGATGCCAGCTACCTTTCTGAGGATTTGTTTTTGAACTCTGTGGGAGGTATCCAAGCACTACAGCACTAGGTTACATTGCAAAAACTTGCATGAATGGATAAACAGCAAAAGATGTTTGTTTTTGAAAACCTGAGCTTCAGAATGGTGAACCAAATCTAGGAGAAATGAACAGAACTGATGTAAGTGGACCCAACTGCACTCAAACCTTCATTTTAACCTAGGCATTTGGACTTTGTTGTGAGGTTGCATAAAACAAATATCTTTCCATGGTGGCATATATACACAAACACACACACACAATATTAAAATGCAGATTCTTGCTCCACAGGGCATGTAAGCATCTCCAGGTTACATATTCCATATGAATTTTTCTTTCAGTTAGTACTGACATTTTCTTGCCTTGGCCTGGAAGATCAGTTTCAGTACATTCAGTCAGATCAATAGAATCTACATATTTCAGACTCAGATTTTTATGCTGCCCTTTAAGAAGCTTATACAACAAAGCCTGAAGGGTTTAATTTATTTTAATAAATGTTAGTGTCCTGGGTTAAGCTGAGACAGAGTGAACTTTCTTCATAATAGCTAGCAGGAGGCTGTGTTTTGGATTTGTGCTCAGAAGAAAACTGATAAAAAGGGATGTTTATGCGGCTGCCAAGGTCTTTCAGCTTCTCTGGCTGTCTGCAAACAGGAGAAGCTGGGAGGGAGCACAGCCCCAGTTACTAGCCCAGGACTGGATCTTAGGTTCGGGATTGAGACCCAAAGTGGCCAATAATCTGTTCCATAACATACATGTGTGATGTGTTATCCCTCGGCTGGGGGCCAAACCACACACACCTGCTCACACAATTCCCACCCCCACTCAAGCATAGGGGAGAGAATTAAAGGGGTAAAGGAAAAAAAGACTCGTGGGTTGAGATAAGGACAATTTAATAACTAAACTACAATAATATTGAAAATAATACTATATACAAATATACGAATGAGTGATACACAGTGATACTGCCTATAACAGTCCCAGCGTCACGGACCGAGAGCTGACCGAAGTGGGGGGAAAACGACCACCTGGCCACAGCTAACGATCCCCCCGGAGAGGGAGGATCCCGAAGATAACAATTCGGGCGTCCAAGACTGAGAGCAAGCTGACTGGGGTGTGGGGGTGGAAAGGCCTTGGGAGAGCAACCACCTGG